TTTGAAGAGCCTGGGGTGGTGGTGAGAGTGCTAAACTAGGGCCAATCGGGGCCAGTTTCAAATCCCCCCCCCCCCCGCCATAAAGCCGAATGACCTTGGAACAGTCACTGTCTCAGTCTAACCAGCCTCACAGAGTAGTTGTGGGAATAACGTTGGAGGAGGAGAAGGAAAGGAAAACTGCCCTGACCTCCTGGGGGAAGATTAGCATAAACACAATAAACAAAGATTCTGTGAAGGACAGGATGGGTTTCTAACAAAGCTTTCAGCCTCCTCACCAGATGACAAATCCCAAAATCGGGTGGGGGGGGGGGGAAGCAACGGTAGTTATGTGATACAAGGACAGTGGTGTACCTTCCTAGTGTAGATAATTCCCTGGCAGAGTGCTATGCGGAAGAGTCGGTTGAAAAAGACAGTTGTGATTGTTGACTCTTGAGCAAATGGTACTGCAGTTAATTTGATAAACCTAAAACCAATTAACTGAGGATATAACACATAATAGTACTTAGAAACACGATCGTACAACTCCTCTCTTTATAAGTACCGGATTACAGCTGTCTGTAATTTTCCACAAGATGCTGCTGCAGGGCAGAAATTTTCCATGCTCTCACACAACAAGGTGGTTCTTTGCATGAGATGCACCAGTTTTACATAGGAGTTAAGAGTGTGTGTGAAGAGACAGCCTCAGTAGGTGACACTCACTTGCGGAGTCAGTCCAGTTGTCTCAACCTAAAAAACAAACTATGGCCATTTTATATTATCCTCTGCTTCACAGTCTTTTCCCTCTCTTGCAACTGAAACATCTGGAGATGACCAATTCCACAGGAGTAATTGTTGCCACAAAGCCTATAAGGAGTATGATGGTGTCATAAAAACTGACGGATTTATTATGGCACGAGCTTTTGTGGCTGGGCCAGAGCACGCATGCATGCATCTGATGAAGTGGGAAAGTTTATAGTGCAATAAATCTGTGAGTTTTGAATGTGCCACAAGACACTCCTTTCATCTGGACATGCAGAGGGTGGGAGCTAGCTGATGCTTGTGTGCAGATCAGAACATTTGAAACTACCCTCTTTTATATTAATTGATTTTGCTGTATGGCTACTGTTACACTTCTTTGGCAGCTGAATGTGTGAACTGGCTTTATTGAAAAGGAGTGCCCCTCATCCAGCTTAAGTTGTTGTTGCTGTTCAGTCGCACAGTCGAGTCTGACTCTTCGCGACCCCGTGGACCAGATCACGCCAGGCCTTCTGGTCTTCCACCGTCCTCTGAAGTTTGCTCAACTTCATGTTCGTTACATCTGTGACACTTTCTAACCATCTCATCCTTTGCCGTCCCCGTCTTCTTTGACCTTCAATCTTTCCCAGCATCAGGGTCTTCTCCAGTGAGTGCTCCCTTCTCATTGGGTGGCCAAAGTATTTGAGCTTCAGTTTCATTATCTGGCCTTCCAGGGAACAGTCAGGGTTGATTTCTTTTAGGATTGACTGATTTGATCTTCTTGCAGTCCAAGGGACTCCCAAGAGTCTTCTCCAGCACCATAGTTCAAAAGAATCTATTCTTCGGCGCTCGGCCTTCCTTATAGTCCAACTCTCGCGGCCATACATGACTACTGGGAATACCATTGCTTTGACCGTGCGGACTTTTGTTGGCAGGGTGATGTCTCTACTTTTTATCATGCTGTTTAGGTTCACCATCACTTTCCTCCCAAGGAGCAGGCGTCTTTTAATTTCATGGCTGCTGTCACAGTCTGCGGTGATCTGGGATCCCAGGAACGTGAAGTCTGTCACTACTTCCACGACTTCACCTTCTATTTGCCAAGGAGTGATGGGGCCGGATGCCATGATCTCAGTTTTTTTGATGTTGAGCTTCAAGCCCACTTTTGCGCTCTTGGAGAGGGAATGATTCAGTGGAAAGGGAAGAAGACTAGAGGGAAAAGCCTGGAAGGAGAAGAGCAAACTGGGAGAGAGAACAGGCAGAGAAGAGGGCTGCAATTGCCCCCGGAGCTCCTCAGATGACGTTATCCTAACCCATGTGTTAGAATGAAGTGGTAGAATTGTGAGGTGCTTGAATGAGCCATCCCAATTGCATGTGGGAAACGTCACATTTTTATTTTTGGCCACTGTGTGACAAGAGTGCTGGACTGGGTGGGCCATCGGCCTGATCCAACATTGGCTTCTCTTATGTTCTTAATGGCCTCTGATGTGAAATTTCCTACAAATTAAAAAATAAGCATACCAAGGAGGAAGGTTCTAGACTAGCCCTGTGTATGCATGCTACTTTCATTTATTTAAAATATATATTTTAACTGGACTTTCTGCTGCTTCAAAGAAGGACCTACTCCATAGGGATAATTCCAGCTGGGAAGCCATATTGGTCTGTAGCAACAAAATAAAAGCAGAGTCCAATGACACCTTAAAGACTAACAGATATTCTAGCACAAGTTTCCATGAATCGGCGCTTGCATCTTCAGATGCCTGTCTGCTTATGGGGGACTACTGGGGGGAGGGAATTAAAAATGTAATCTTTCCCCCCTCGCTCTGAAATGACAGTCCATTTTACTTCCTCGGGCTCTCTGCCACCTCATTCTGATTCCTGCTCAGGTCAGGGCAATTATGAATCCTGTCCCATTCTGAGACAACCGTCCAGCTCTTCGAATGCAGGCCTCCGGTTTCATTGTAAGCCCTTGAAACACAAGCACTAACATGATAGCCTTCTACGACAGAAGTCTATTTTTACAGGAGGCTACTTTCTGGAAGGTGATGGAAGATAGTGGGGCAAAGTTTTACTCCTTGACCTCCAAATGGATTGCAAACAAACCCGTTGCCCCCACAGACCCCACTTCCTCTGCATACTGTTCTTGCTTCTCGGTTGGCAACCAACTAGTGTTCTGTGTGTGCAAACAGACTTCTTGGGGGTGGGGAGCAGGTGTTGACTCCTGTTCTGAACGGACTACCCATGAACATAATACACCGTGATTTTCTTGCACCAGTGCACATTCAGGGTATACGAGCCTGACGATGTGAACAAAACTAGATCCCCGGAGCATATCAACAAGTCTTGTAAACATGGTTTACTGAAACAAAAGCGGAGGGAGCGGAAGGGGAACGGGAGTCAAGCTGCCAAGAGTCTCGGTAGATAACAGTCTCTGCTGGTGCATGATCAAGGCCAGATCCAAGCGTTTAACAGGGGAACAAGGAAAAGAAAAATATATTTTACAGGCCACACTGCTGTGCATTTGAATGCCGGGACAGGAACATCTGCTTTTAGCATTTTCAGAACTGCTGCGGCATCTTTAATCAACTGCCTTTCATGTTAAGTTTGTGTTTCAAAGAAAACATCCCGAGCGAATAAACTGAGAACCTCAGGTCTGAAAAAATATCAGAGGCACTCAGAGTGCGCCCCCCCCCGTGTGCAAATGAGACAAGGAATGTGGAAAAGCATGCACTTCCATATGGCTCCAATGTGCAGGCCTTCAGCTCCAGTGCAGATCCACAGACAGCAGAGCACGGCCTGTCCTGGCCACAATCGACGCTGCCTGTCAGGTCTGCCAGGTGTTTTGGGAAAAACAGATCTTCCTTTCCCACAAGGCATGATGCAGCGGCAAAAAAGGCTAATGCAGTCTTGGGATGTATCAACAAAGGCATAACATCCAAATCCCAAGATGTCACAGTCCCACTGTACACCGCCTTGGTCAGGCTGCACCTGGAGTACTATGTACACTGCTGGAGGTCTCACTTCAACAAGGATACGGACAGAATGGAGCAGGTGCAGGATTTGGGAATGTTTAGTCTGGAAAAGAGGAGGTTGAGGGGGGACATGATTGATCTCTTTAAGTGTTTGAAAGACTGTCACTTGGAGGAGGGCAGCAGAGGAGAGGACTCGCAATAATGGGTTTAAATTAAGGGCGGGAAGGTACTGGCTGGATATTAGGAAATTTTATTTACAGGAAGAGTAGTTCAGCAGTGGAATCGGCTGCCTAGGGAGGTGGTGAGCTGAAACGATGGCATGTTGACTCCACCAGTAAGATTCTGGCCAGCTGACAACTTTGTTGATATGGGGCCTTGATTTAAGGTTGACACATGTTGCTAATAGATTTCTGACCATGTACAGAATGTTTTCCCCATGTCCAGTAATACTTCCAATTCATTCCCAGTCATATGAGATTGTCTCCTGGCCAGGATTTTACTGGGCTGATGAAAATTTAATCCTCTTACATCAACTGCCAAAACAGGAAGTAAGATGTAAAAGGCAAGAAAAAAAAAGTTATTCGGTGTTTTTCTTGACCTTGCCCTGCATTCTATAAAAAGAAGTTTCCCTTCAAAAGGAAAAAAACCCCTCTGCACATGTTAAGTGCTTCAGCATCCTCACATTGATTTTTTTTTAAAAAAAAGTTTGCGTCCTGACCGAGGAGAAAAGTACATACTCAGGAGCACTATGCCAGCCCAGACTTGTAGGTTTCTAAAAGTCAAATCCTGTTGCATGGTCTACTGGATGTCCCACCGTGTTGATTGTACTGGCTTTTCTGTTTCCTCTGCCTGGCGTGGGGGGGGGGAAGGCTATAAATAACATAAATAAAACGGGGTTAACAACCCAACCACTAGGCCTGCTTACACAAAAGTCTGTCCGACTGAATTCAGTTGAGCTGACTCCCAAAAAACAGTGCATAGAATTGCAGCCTAAGGCTTGCAGAGCGGGAGCATTAACGCCTATTAGCTACGATGGTTGAATGGAGCTTCTGTGTTCAGAGACAGTGTACCCAACTGTATGCCGGCTGCTGGGAGGCCTAGGCAACGATCTTGGGAAATTGGGAAGCCGGAGGAGCCGGAGCCCCAGCAAGCCTCATTTCTCCTCGCCCCAAACTCCGAGCGGAGGGGACTCGTGAGGTTACCCAGCCAGTGGGCGGGGAGGAGGGCGGGTGGCGGGCGAACTCCTCCCCGGGGGCCGGGCCTAGAAGAGGAGGCGGGGCCCGCTGCGCCCGCCTCCCCTATAGCCGAGCTCGGGTGGCCGGCCTTGCTGGAGTCGCGATGGACCTGCGGATCCTGGAGCACCGGGTGCGGGTGCTGAGCATCGCCCGCGGGGGCCTCTGGCTCTACATGCACCCGCTCCTCAAGATGCTGCTCCTGCCGCAGCGTAGCAGGTGCCCGGCGGGGTGTGTGTGTGTGTGAGTGGGGGGATCATGGGGGGCCCTCGGGGCGGGGAGCGCCTGCACAGCCCGCCGCCGTGGGAGCGGGCCGAGCGCGCTGCCGGAGAGGCCGGGCTGAGTTTTGGGTCGCCGTGGGTCGGGCCACGTGGGAGGGAGAGGGTGGCGGGGGGTCGGAAGCCCACAGGCGGAGGCGAGTGTTCGCGCCGCAGCCGGGGTTGTGGAGATGGCCCGCGAGGGAGGGGTGTGTCTGTGTACCAGTTCTCATTTTAAATGGGTTGCGGTGGCCGTTTGGGCCCCATTAAGACCGCTTGTGTGTGGGCCCAGGAGTTGTGTGGCGGAGCAACGGATGTGTGTGTGCGTGCAGGCACGCACAAACACACACCCTTTGACCGAGAGCTTGTCGAACTAGGCTTGGGAGGAATTTGGGAGGGATGTTACCAATGTTCCCTCTGTGGAGCCCTGTGAGCAAAAATTCTACTTTGTGAGCTTCTGGCATTAAAGTTGTGAGCGAGCAATCTGGCTGTTGCATAAATCAGTTTGCTCTGGGGCCATCCTTCCTGAGCGAAGGCAAAAATCTGTGAGCTGGAGGCTTAAAAAATTGTGAGCTAGCTCACACCAACTCAGCTTAGAGGGAACACTGGATGTTACACTCCTTTTGCGGGAACCGAGCGTCGTTTCGGGCTGTGGTGGTGGACTGGGCTCCGTTGATGGGTTCGTGTTTGGACTGTGAGGAGAAGAGGGGGGTGGGTGTGTCTCAGGTCTCCGTTTGGGGAAGGGCTGCCCTGTAAATGAAGCCCTCAGGTCTTGACCAAACTCCATTTGGGGTGGTGAAGGATTTGCCCTGATTGGCATGTAGTGCACTGAAGGAGAGGCGCTGGAGGCTAGCTTTGGTCCTGGCTGTGGAAATCAGGGAGTGCTGTTTGGTTCTGGAGTGTATAGGATAGGAGCACGGGGTGGGTGGGTGGGTGTTGTGGTGTCTCTTTAGGTGGTCCTCACTCATCATTTAACCCAGAGGTCACTGTCCTTTATCAGAGGTCAGTAATTAGAGGTCCCATAGCAATTTAGAACTAGCTGTTAATAAATCTTGTTAATGTAGCACTAATCAGGTTAAACATTGTCCTATTGGGACTAACGTGAAATGGCCAACAGGGATGGAAGCGTTCACTGTTCAAGAGGATTATCGAAAGCATTTTGGTTTAGGTTCTGTCAAGAAGTAACAGCGTTCCGTGCGCCTTGGTGTTTAGTCATGCCGGCCACATGACCACGGAAACGTCTTCGGACAGCGCTGGCTCTTCGGCTTTGAAACGGAGATGAGCACCACAACCCTAGAGTTGGATTCGACTGGCTTTTGAGCAAGGGAACCTTTACCTTTACTTTAAGTATGACTCACTTTCTGTTTTCCTTGAAATTCCACCTTATCAAGGGAAAACAATAATTTGGTCATCCAAGTGGCAAGTGCCATTTGTCTTTCCTCCTGGAGATACCCACTTCTTAGAATCAATATAAAGAAGATCAGAATGGTTTCCAGGACCTTTTATGCCCAAAGGCTTGTACTGTCTTTTTTCTCAAAATCAATTCCTTGTTTTCTCTTAGATAAGAGAGATTATTTGGGTAATTTCTTGTGTTGGCATAAGACACTTATTGAACGCTTTTGCTTTTTATTGCTCCCAGGAATCCTTAGATATAAACTATCAAAAGACCAAAGTTTTTGGTTTTTGTAAAGGTATTCCATCACGCCATTTTTCTATGAATGGCCTATTGAATGGCCATTCAGTTGATCAGCTGAACAGCTTCTGCTATCTTGGTGTCCTTTTTTCGTATAATTTGTCCTGGACAAGTCATATTAATGCTGTTAAGAAGTTAGCATCAGTACACAAATGTGGCCCCATATTAGTAGGCCGTTATGGAAGAACATATTTTTAGGGATGGAGCACCATCCTTTGATCCCATTGTTTCTTCCTTAAAGAACTGTGTGTCCAGTGGACAAAGCTATAAGCCATCACAATACATCGTCGCATTATCAGTCAAACAAAACAACAGTGAGTCATTTTAAACAAGCTTTTTGTTGTTTAGTCGCACAGTCGAGTCCGACTCTTCACTTATATATTCAGTTTCAAAAATAGAGCAAGTCTTTATAGTACAGATTTTTAGGAATAACCTTTTTTTAAAAAAAAAATTCTACTTTGATCCCCTTCTTGAAAGCCTCTCTCTATAAGAAATTTTAGTTACGCTGACTAAGGCCTTAACATGTCCTGAGGTCTTCCACTAGCTGTATTTGCAATTAGGGTGGGAATTCTTCCCATTTTTTAATAGTGGAAATGGATGTGGAGTAGACTGCTTTTATTACCTTGTATGGTTTGGCCCGAGCTAGCCCGATCCTGTCAGATCTCAGAAGCTAAGCAGGGTCTGCTGGTTAGGACACGGATGGGAGACCACCAAGGAAGTCCAGGGTTGTTCTGCAGAGGCAGGCAGTGCCAGTGGCAAGCCACCTCTGTGTGTCTCTTGCTTCGAAAACTCTGCCGGGTTGCCCTAAGTTGGCTGCAACTTGACAGCACTTTTCACCACAATGAATTGAAGGGAGAGGATCACTCCCTTCTGCTACCTTAAATGAGTGGATGAGCAAATAAATGCAAATAGTACTGAAGAATAGCTCCTTTTGAGTTATCCCCCATGGCTGTCCTTCACGGTTAAATTTGCATTTGGCCATAACTGCAAGCAGCAAACAAAGAGATGGTCACAGTCCAGAGAACTTACAATTTATGAATCATGCAACTGTGATAAAGAAGCATTCACAATGTTTTATCTAAAGATGTTATACAAAACATTAATTTCTGAAGTGATTATTACAGAAGATAATACAATAGAAAAACAGAAGCGAAAAGGCCTCCGGATTGGTGCTGCTGTTTCGACAATGCGTCTTCTTCTGACCAAAAACTGTGCCCTTATGAATAAATTCACAATTATGTGCCATCAATTAAAGAATCAGTGGTAATAATACATCATCTAATTTTGATAATTGAAAATATTTTCTTACAGTCAGTGCACAGTATGGAGTTCCTCAAGCAACAAAAAGCTGCATACTCATGAGTTTTTTAACTCTTCTATAAAATACAAGAATTTAACAGCTCTTATAGCAATGCACTTTAACACCTGTTCAAGCTTTGACTTCAGCCCTCTTGGGAGAACTTTTTTCTAGAATTAGAGATGTTCCTTCTCAAGCTATGTGAGTATGTGATATAAGTATTATGTTTCTTGTTAGTTTGAATTTGGTTAATAATTGATTATACCAATATGTTAAATTCTTAATTTTTATAGAAGAGTTAAAAAAACTAATGAGTTTGCAGCTTTTTGTTGCTTGAGGAACTCCATACTTCGCATTGACTGTAAGAAAATATTTTCAATTATCAAAATTAGACGATGTATTATTACCACTGATTTTTTTATTGATGGCACATAATTGTGAATTTATTTATAAGGGCACAATTTTTGGTCAGAAGAAGACATATTGTCAAAACGGCAGCACCAATCCGGAGATTCTGTTTTTCTATTGTATTATCTCCTGTAATAATCACTTCAGAAATTAATGTTTTGTATAACATCTTTAGATAAAAAATTGTGAATGCTTCTTTATCACAGTTTCAGGATTCATATATTGTAAGCACAACTGCAAGCAACCAGTCTGTTTCTAAGATCTGTGTCAGAGCTGTCTAATTCCTAGAATTTCACATATGCGGAGTTTTGCCTGGAATCTGATGCTGGCTAGAAAATTCACTTCCTGCAAATGTGGGTCCTTTTGTTTAAAACAGTTGGCAAGTAATTCTACTATCCGTTGTCTCATTTCTTCCACTTGGTGGACGGTGTTCCTTAACCTCCCCCCAACCTAACTGAAACTGAGTCTGGAAAAGTTTAGCAAATCATAGGTGCTAGGATAAAAGTCTTACCAGCTCGTGTTAACATTTAATGTCACCTACTCTGCACAGCAAGGAGGGAAAGAGAGAAATCAACGTTCTTAGGCATCAAAACAAATAAATTAGGAGTTGGTGATTCAGCCCTCCCCCACAGCAGTTCCGGTCCTGATTCTGCTGAAGCCAAAAGGAGCCTGATGACAGTTTAAACTAATAGATTTATTGTGGCAAAAGCTTTTGTGGACCGGAGCCCACTTCATCAGATGCATGAAGTATTATCTTCATTTGGCAGCTCTACATATGTCCATGTAGAGAAGCAGTGCAGCTAGAAGGCTGCATGGCTTTTTAGTACCATTCCTTTCTCTCTTATGTGTCTGCCAAACGTCTGTGGTGATAAAAATGAAGAGACAGACAAGCAGAGTCTTAAAGACTAACACAGCCTGCCCTCTGGGAATTTTGCTAAAGTTCACTTACTGGGATCTGACTCAAGTATGTACAAGTTGGAGTAATTGTGCCAATCTGAGTAGCTTATTTTGCATGCACGATTAGGATGTTGTACTTTGCAAAGAATTTAAGGCGGTAGTCCTAGGAACACTTAACTGGGGGTAACGTTGAATAAAACAGGGCCAGATAGTTCAAATCACCACAGCGGACCTGGGATGCGACCCGAAGTGTGCGATCCAAAGTAGTTGTTTCCAGCATCTTTACAGCCTTAATTATCAGGCTTGAAGTGTCCTGGTTAGGACTGAGATAGTGTGTGTGTGTGTGTGTGGGGGTCACGAGTTAAGCTTTTCCTTCCTAGGGGAGGGGGGGAGGCTGCTATGTGTTCCATTAGGAAATTTGCCTGTACTGCTAGAGGTACACAAATGTTTCCCTAGCAGGGCAGACAGTTGTTCCCGTAGACATGTCAGATCAGGAAAACAGTGAGGGGGGAGGCTTGAGGGGCCTCTTGCAGGTGCCTGACCCCAGGATGGCTCAGTTAGCTGTCATCAGGGGAAGGGCCTTCTCTGTTGTGGCCCCTACCCTGTGGAATGCATTCTCGGAGGACACCCACACCCTGCTGGACTTGTTTGGTCTCTGCAGGGCATGCAAGGCCACATTGTTTAGGTTGGCCTTTGCAGGGTAATCCACATATTTGGGCTGTTGTTATTAGTGGTGTGGTTCTAGCCACAAATGTTAATAGTTTAACATTTTAATATCAATATTTTATATTTGTGATGTGTTTTTATGTTGTTTTTGGGTGAGTGGTGACTAAAAATAATCTAACAAATAAAAATTTAAAAAGTACAAACTACAGCTCATGAGTTTTTGCTGATGGGGTCTAGCAACCTTGAGTCCCTTTGGTATCATTTTCTGTATGCCCTTCCCCTTCCCCCTCCCATCTCCTGTGTCTGCTCCTTTCTCCCTGCCAGGTTTGTACAGTCCCACTCTTCCTTCCCAGGGTTTAGTTTTATTATTACGGTCCTAAAACCAGCATACAATATAAACATAATATAAGAAAGAGGAAAAAGACAGAGATAATATACAGAGTAAAAATCTAAATATAAAAACGTTTAAAATGCGACTCCCGCAATTTAAGAATCAGTGCACAAAACTTGGCAACTGCATGTGTATCCTTCCCAGGGTTGCTCCAGCTATGCTTTCTTCTAAAACCAAGTGTCTACCACCCTTTGTTCCTGCTTTAGCGGCCTCCTCTTTTTAGCCTCCCTTGTCCTTCTTAGCTGTGCTCTCTCCCTCCTGCTGTAGTGTGTATCTTGAGCATCCTGAGATTTCTTTGGTGCTGCTCTTCCATTTTGCCTTTGTACCCTCTGCCTTCCCCCCCCTTCACAAGCCTTATTCTCCATCTGCACTTCTTTCATCACGTTTCCTCATTCCACAGCCTGCTCTGCCTTTTCCTTCTGCCTCCTTTTGTCTGAGATTTCTTACGCTCAGCTTCCTTCCATCCTGAGGCCTGTTGTCAGTCTTCGGTCTGCACCAGTGTGAGGTATTAATCCCAGCCAAAATGACAGCTTTCCCTTCAATCATGCAAGCTGGACTGCAGATTGTTTGGTTCTGTGGGTCGCTGAACATTCCATGCTGCTGCTCGTGTTTCACGGAGATCTTGCTAGTGTTATCTCTATATTGAACTCGAGGGGGCTGAAGTAAAGAGAAAGGGTTGCCTAAGGACCTGTAGCAAGTTTGTGGCAGAGGTTAGGCTTGATCTGAGCTCGTTCTCTGGTTTATACCTTGCATTTCCCCACTGACAGCTGGCAAGCATGCTTGCAATCAGTTCATGATTGGCAAAGCAAAGTGGCTAAGCAGTAAATTTCCAACCCCAATTTCCCATGCTTACGTGCCTGAAGTCCAAACCCTGTAGTGCTGGTAAACAAGCATGCAAAAGGGGAGGAGAGAACTGCCACATCCTCGTGAAATGGGGCTGCTTAGTCCTGTCACCATTAATCGTGGTCTTTCAAGGTGTGTTGGAGGTGGCTTCTGCAACTGGAGAGGGGATAAAATGTTGGGGATGGGCCCAGGGCATGATGGTCATGGAAAGTGCCATCAAGTCGCCGGTGACTTAGAGTGACCCTGTAGGGCTTTCAAGGTAAGCGATGTTCAGCGGTGGTTTGCTATTGCCTCTGCGTGGTGACCCTGGACTTCCTCAGTGGTCTCCCATCCAAATACTAACCAGGGCCGATACTGCTGAGCTTCCGAGATCTGACGAGATTGGGCTAGCCTGGGCCGTGAAGGTCAGGGCCTGCCTAAATGCCTTGTGTTCTCTGCTCTGAGCATTGCTGTGCCCAGTACAAGTTTCAGCAGGTGGGTGTGGTTATAATACTGGAACAGTGTAGAGGTCGGCTACCTGCAGGCAAGAGTTTAGTGGGGTCTCTGTACAGCTGATATTGTGCCCTGTGGCTGTGCTCTGGCCCTGTGGTTCCATTTTTTGAAGTAGAGGAAGGAAGAAGCTCCATCCAGTTGTTAACATCTGCGCAGTGACACTTTCCTGTAATGGGGTGCTGAATTCTTCCTATTTCTAAGGGTAAGGGCACTGCGCTAGAGTGTTGACAAGGAAGGATACTCTCTCCAGCGTTACCTTTTCACAGCCTATGGGGTGGGAGGGGAGAGTAAGATAAGGGTGGATTTGGGCGTTGTTGAAAGCTAGCAGGTATTTCCAACACTGGCTCAAATGTCCAACTCTGATTTTGCTGTTTTCCTAGGTGCAAATTCTTCAGCTTAACCGAGACTCCTGAAGACTATACTGTTATATTGGATGAAGAAGGCTTTAAAGGTATCGCTGCTATGCTTGGGTTGGCGGTCTCAACTATTTGTCTTTATCGCCTTTCTTGCGATCTGTTTAAATTGTATTGCAGTTGAAAATCGTTTTCCCTGCCCCCCCAACACATGCCTGATCTCTCTATTGATAGATTTGTTCTGAGTCTTTGGTAAGAAGGATGACCCGGCCCTCTCTTCTAAGGGTAACCTCTTTTAATCCTCCTAAAAGCTTAATTTAAGGGAGGGAAGAAGAGAGGGATGGTCCCAACAGCATCCCTTTATGGCTGATTTTTGCCAGATGGGGCCAGTAGCGGACTCCTAGGACAGATCTGCAGTCCCTGTGGGTAGAAGTGGTGGTGGGTGGAATTGTTCAAGCCTCATGCTTCTTGGTTCCAAGCAAAAAACCCAAAAAGGTAGTAAGAGAAAAGGCATGAGTTCTCAGTGCGTGTTCTCAGAGAGAATCTTGCTGGCGTAGTGGATGTTGTGTATCATTCTCCTCTTTTCTCCGGCATCGTTAGCTTGAGCCTGGAGACATCCTGGGAGTTGAGAGATGTGTGTGGGGGGGTTAAAGTACCACCCAGTGCCTCCCCTTGTCCTCCAGGTACGTGGGGAGGTTGTCTTGGGTTCTAGTTTGGATCTAGTCGTTGGATCTAGTTCGTCTTCCAGGGCTTCACATATGGAAGGAAACGGGTTTAGGTGCACCCTTGTCCTCCTGCTCACTCCCCTTTGTGTGCCCTCTTCCCCTCCCTCACCCGCCTTGAGGTTAGGAGCACCCTGACTACCAACTCCTCAGGCCAGGGCTGTGAGGGTTTAAACAGTGCCCCACAGCCTCTGTATGCCCTGCCTCCCTCCCGTCTTGTGGGGCTGTCTGGCTTGGCACTGACATTTCTCACCTCCCCCCTGCAGCTAGTGCTCCCTCTGGTGCCATCTCCAGGTGTGCCAGGCCACCCAGTCCTGCCTATGGGGCATGTCTCCGCTGACCAGCTGGAGTGCGGAGGCGGAGCTGGCGGTCCCGACTTGCAGTGTCACAGCAGGACTGGCCCGCTGAGGGGCCGCAGTCAGCGAGGCCACCCTCCAGGGCTTCAGAGAGGGGCAGGGGGTGGCGGCAGTGAAGCCAGAGGTGTGTCCTGCCCCGCCTCCATTCCACCCCAGGCACCTCCAAGAGACAGGAGAAGGTGAAGCTAATATCCTTAGGATTTATTTAAAACATTTTTATCCCACCTCTGCTCGGATTAAAGCCAACTCACAGTGCAGCGAGCAATGTGCAGGGACACAAAATATACCAGTCTGAGATACCAGTCTAAATGACAGATGACAGTGCGCAAATTTAAAAACCACACGGTATTAGAACAAGCGCAGCCAAGTCCGCTGAAATGGTTTATCTCCCACCAAATGTCAGATGATTTGGCTTTGCGGTAAAATCTGTCAGTACAGGACACTCACCCTGTTCTGTCTGTGGCCACTTTGGATCGGCATGCAGTCCTGCGACCCCATTTTGGCATAATGAGTTATTTGGGAAGAATCCCTCAGGAGGGCCCTTGTATGTCCACCTAACAGTTGTGCAGTCCCAGCTGACGCAGCACAAGACAAGGAACTTGTGCTTAGAGAAGAAGCCCTCCGCCTAACATCCCTAGGCCCGGGCCGCTAAAGCAGAGCTCTTCCTGGCTTGGGTTTGTTTCCGTCTTCTCGCCTCTGTGGCTTCCTGTTACAGGACAGCACAGGCTTTTGGAGAGAACTCAAGTCCTAAATCTTACTGGACCTGAACCAGAAGATTTTGGTAACTTATAGTGGTTCCCTTTTCTTTGTGCTCCTCACTTGCTCTCCAAAAAACTTCCTTCAAAGAAAGACGGGGAAACTGTTGCTGATCTTGGTGAGAGAATGGGATCACACAATACATTCTCTGAGTTGTGGCCAGGACTTTCCTGGAACACAAGAAAGCCGAGACTGTCGAGTCTGATTCTGCAAACTGGAGTTGTTCATGAAGGTCAGTTTCTGAGAAACAAGAGGTCCTTGAAGGCAACAGAGCACTCTTGTAGCCTTCTTCTTTCCGGCTCACTCCCACATTCAAATCTCTCCCCTTTATGAGATTCTTTCCATTTTCTGCCCAAGTAGGAGACTGTGCCATACCAACTTGACCTTCATATGCAAAGGCCAGGTTTGTTTGCAGGCTTGGCTGCACCAAGAGCTAGGAAAGGAACTTCTCTTTACACCCAGAACATGGTAACATGATGGTGGTGGTGATCAGTGTGCCTGGAGCTTTAGAGTATGACAGGCAGGGCTATTTTTGGCCAGGAACGCACAGGAACGGAGTTCCGGCTGGCTCCCAAGTTGGCCATGCCCAGCAGGAACTCATTAGCATAATAGGCCACACCCAACAGCAGAAACTCATTAGGATTGGCTACATTAGGGGTGTGTGGCCTAACATGCAAAGGAGTTCCTGCTACAAAAAAAGGCCCTGGGTTTTGACAACAAACAAGGTAAACAGAATAAGAAGCAAAAGGTGGGCGTGGCTGGATGACCACACTTCTGGTAACATGGGGGTGCGGCCTAATGTGCTAATGAGCTGTGATGTCAGGGGTGTGGCCCAATATGCTAATGAGTTCCTGCTGTTGGGTGTGGCCTATTATGCTAATGAGTTCCTGCTGGGCTTTTTCTACAAAAAGAGCCCTGAGACAGGTCCCTGTCCCAAGGAACATATAATCTAAAATTTGAAATAAGAGAGGTGGGGATAAACTTGGGAAGAACTTAACAGAAGGAAGAAAACCCAGGTGCAAGGTGAAAAGATTTATTGACGTTGTCTATAGAGCGTTTCACTCTAGGCTTCATCAGGAGATCTTCAGTGGAGTTTTTCAATTTCCACCTTGAGCAGTGAAAACTTGATGAAGAACTTAACGGAAAGAGTTTCGAGGAGGCAGTTTGATGGAAGTGAGAGGAACTGAGCCTATGCAGATGTTCTAGGAGGCAGATCCCAGGCCTAAGGGGGCAGCAACGGAGAAAGGGGCAGATTCATTTGAAGAAGCTTGAGACCTTCAGATGCCTGAGGGTGATGAAGGAGTAAAGATCATTGAGTAAAGATCATTGAAATATGAGAGTGGAGAATGGGGCAGTGGGGAATAAGCAGACTGTGGTGGGCTTTGAAGACTTCTGTGCAGGTCAGGAATGGGCAGTGAAAGGACTTGAGGAGGGATTTTGCCTAATTGGAACAGTGGGAGAAGTGAGTGATTTTTGGATGTGCAGTCCTGTGTAGACGTCTGGGGGCCAAAGTAGGAGAAGACCAAAATGGAGGAGGTTATTGCTGTTAAGGGGAGGGATGAGTATAGCCTGAACCAGAGTTTGAGGGGGCAGCGAGGAAGGACCATATTTTTGCAGTGTTGTAACAGCAGAAATTACCAGACCTGTAACACAGCCTCCACCTTTTGTGAGCTGCGCTGCCCGTTTTGTTAACCGTCACACTGTCCGCTAGGAAATGGCATCTCTCCACCTTGGGTCTAGAACTGTGGGGATTTGGGAAACATTAGTCATTTCGGAGTAAACTATTTGCCATAATAATAAAAAAGATATCTGAATGAGAAGATAAGAGTTGTTGGTTTTGTTTGTTTTTTGAAACTCCAGGAAACCTTTTAAGTAGCTGTGCTAAAAATTCTTTGCCAGGGCATGCCACCCAAGCCCTCTGCAGTGGCTTACCCAAAGTTTCCTTGAAGGAACTGGAAAAAAAGCCCCCATCAGATTCCTGGACGCTGGCAGGACACTACTTAGCAGCATAGGTGACCAAGGAATTCCCCCCCCCCCCCTTCCTTTTTAAACATCTCTGTCTAACATGCTGTATGTTCCTGTGGCTCACTGTAATGTTGCTACAGAGGTTCCTTTGGGTAGATAAGAAGGTTTGCCCTTTATTGGGGAACTGGAACCTTGAAATTTGTTTGTTTTGTGGAAGCCACAGAGCTGCAATTCCCAGTGTGCCATGAGACGACTGAATCCAGCACTCCCTGACTGCCTGAGCAGGGAGGGTCCACACAATATTGATTTCCCTTCTCCTCTACCCTTACATTTTTAGGAAAATAATCCCGAAAGAAGGGATAAGGATTCCATATTGCAATGGACAGCTACACTGGACAGCTATAGGGGAAACGGAAAGAATCTCTGTTGTCCAGACAGCACAGGTCCATCCAGTGCTCCCTCTAAGCTGTGGAGTCTTGCGAGCAAAAATTCTACTTTGTGAGCTACTGACATTAAAGTTGTGAGCAAGTGATTTGGCCAGTTAGGTGTAGTGGTTAGTGGAGAGCCAGTTTGGTGTAGTGGTTAAGTGTGCGGACTCTAATCTGGGAGAACCGGGTTTGATTCCCCACTCCTCCACTTGCACCTCCTGATGTGACCTTGGGTCAGTCACAAGCTTTGGCACAGCTGTTCCTGAAAGAGCAGTTTGTGTCAGAGTTCTCTCAGCCCCACCCACCTCACAGGGTGTCTGTTGTGGGGAGGGGAAGGGAAAGGAGTTTGTAAGCTGCTCTGAGACTCCCAAGTGAAGGGCGGGGTATAAATCCAATCTCCTCCTCCTCCACTGCATGAATTGGTTTGCTCTGGAGCCATCCTTCCTGAGCTAAGACAAAAATGTGTGTGCTGGAGGCTGAAAAAACTGAGACATCTCATACTAACTCGGCTTAGAGGGAACACTGGTTCCATTCCCTAAATCTTAATGAGAGGCCATAGGAGAATGTAGAATGGCAGAAGGCAGTGTTATTAACTAGGCTACCCTGCAGTTGCAGATAAGCCTATATATTGTTCCTGCAGGTGACATGGAATCTGTACATCTGTCCGAGGATAAGAGCAAAGGTTGCCTTCAGTTTTAACCCTGGGGGGGGGGAATGGACCTTGGATATCAAAGGCTGCTGTGAAGCTTCCTGGGGACACAGTCTGTGTAACTGCCTCGCTTCTCCTTGTCCAGGGATCCCTGTAAAGGGGGCATGCCATTGCCAGCCCCTTCCAAGACCGGCAGAGAACAGATGCACAGCAGATGTTGGT